CGCCGCGCGGGGACTCTCCTCGTGCAATGAGTAGCGCCGCCGCGACCGCGACGTCGTGTCACCGCCTCGGGGTCGCGCTGCTGCTGCTGCTGCTGGTTCTTGGTGGAGCCGAGGGGAAGGCGCACAACTACGAGGACGCGCTGCAGAAGAGCCTGCTCTACTTCGAGGCGCAGCGCTCGGGGCGGCTCCCGCACAGCCAGCGCGTCGCCTGGCGCCACCACTCCGGCCTCACCGACGGCCTCGAGCAAGGGGTACGTTGCGTCACGACACCGTCCCGTCCGCCGCTGTCGTTCACGTCTCGCCGGTGACTCCATTATTCCACGCTCGCGAATCCGATCGGTTTTCCGACGAGTGCGTGTGTTCACACGCCGATCGGGCTACGCGTGGTCACTGGGCGGAGCGGGCGTGGCGGGGACGGCACGGAATCGAGACTCGAGAGATGTTTCGATGAACGATCTCAGCTGGGTCCGTCAACTAACACGGCTGTCTTTTTTCTCCATGATGATGACGATCGCGCGCGCCACAGGTGGACTTGGTGGGGGGATACTACGACGCCGGCGACCATGTCAAGTTCGGCCTGCCCATGGCGTTCACCGTCACTATGCTGTCGTGGAGCCTGATCGAGTACGGCGGCGACGTCGCGGACGCCGGCGAGCTGGGCCACGCGCTGGAGGCCGTCAAGTGGGGCGCCGACTACTTCATCAAGGCGCACACCAGGCCCGATGAGCTGTGGGCTGAGGTAAGACGACTAGCTAGGCTACAGTTACACAACCCAACCGCGTCGATCTCTCGAGTCGTCTGTCTCACCTGCCTGGCCATGCCGTGCCGAGACGGCGAGACCAGTTCGCTGTGACTTGGCCTCGCGTGCGAAAGCTAGCTGTTACAGACGACATGAAACGCAACGTGATGAAGCTAGCCAAGCTAGCTAGCTAGCTAGAGACCAATTCAAATTCAGTTATCGCTTGTAGTTTAGGCTGTGTTTAGTTCGCGAAATTTGAGAATTTGACTACTGTAGCACTTTCGTTTTTATTTGGCAATTAGTGTTCAATCATGGACTAATTAGGCGCAAAACGTTCGTCTCGCGATTTCCAACCAAACTGTACAATTAGTTTTTTTTCGTCTACATTTAATGTCCATACACATATCATAAGATTCGATATGATGGCTACTGCAACACTTTTTGAGAAACTTTTTGGAACTAAACACAGCCTCAGTGACTGGTTTCTTCATTCATTCGCTACTTTTTCCTAACAAACATTCCAAACCGCAATTTGTCTTATACTCTGGTATAATTAATTAAGTATATATATAGCACACAAAAAGATATCTCTTTCTGGTGAATAACAACAACCGGGTTAGGTGGCCCGCCCATTGAACGTACGAAGCAGTAGCAATAAGTTATGCAGTTCCACATGGCATGGCATGGCATGGTGTTGACAATTTCGTGCGCGCAGGTGGGCGACGGCGACACGGACCACTACTGCTGGCAGCGGCCGGAGGACATGACGACGTCGCGGCAGGCGTACAAGGTAGACCGGGATCACCCAGGCTCCGACGTCGCCGGCGAGACCGCGGCGGCCATGGCGGCCGCGTCCATCGTCTTCCGCGACTCCAACCCGCACTACGCGCACCTTCTCCTGCACCACGCACAGCAGGTAAATATTTTTGCCGGCTATGATTCGTGGAAAGAAAAAACATGGGCTGGAAACGTGGTGGACTAGCTAGCGGTAGTACGCGTCCGGTACGCGTACCGAACTTTGGACTGTTGCGAGCACCTGCTGGCTGCTGCTGTAGCCTGTAGTCAAGATGTGCCGGACATGGACAGCTTCTTTGAAAGTACTTTGGGTTGATTTGTTGTGAGAAAAAAATATTATTTATTGATTGAAAAAGTATGGTTTATAAGCCAATTGAATGTGGACGGCCTTGTTGGCAGAGGCGTTTGGAGGTGTGTTCTTCCTTGTGTGATTGTGTCAGTCCTCTCCGCGGCAGGCACATGCCAAGTTGTGAACACGACGTTTTTCAGATGAGAGGTTTCTGTCGGTTCGTAGGGGATGCCATGTGGGGCCCGGGGAGCCGGCGCGCAACCTAACGCGAAAAAGAATGGAGAAAAAAAAGGCGAGCTAGGTGGACGTGGAAAGCCTCGCGGTTTCCTCCATGATTAGGTCGCCAGTTCAATCGCATAAACTGCTTAGAAACTAAGAAATGTAAACGTCATCATGTGCTTGCTAATTCAACCAGTCCTTTTTGGTTTTCTTTTCGTTTATATTTATTTTAATAACAACGGAACCAGTCGACTTAGCAGCACCTGCTACCAATACGTGCTTTTTCCCACTGCAATTATGAGACCAATTCTGATTGAATAACCTGCACGTTACCTAAATCATTTTTCTTTTGTATCTTTGCAGCTGTTCGAGTTCGCCGACAAGTACAGGGGCAAATACGACGGCAGCATCGCGGAGGTGAAGAGCTACTACGCGTCGGTGAGCGGGTACAAGGACGAGCTCCTGTGGGCCGCCCTGTGGCTCCACCGCGCCACCGGCAGAGCTGACTACCTCGACTACGTCGTCGACAACGCCGACAGCTTCGGCGGCACCGGCTGGGCCATCAACGAGTTCAGCTGGGACGTCAAGTACGCCGGCGTCCAGATCCTAGCAGCAAGGGTAAGTGACAGTGTACGTAGTAATGCCAGCACACGAAGAGACAGACAAAGAGTAGCAAGACTGACACGTGCGTCCACCCGTACTTGTTTCAGTTGCTGCTGAGAGGGGAGCACGCGACGCGCCACCGGAGCACGCTGGAGCGGTACAGGGCGAAGGCGGAGCGCTACGTGTGCGCGTGCCTGGGCCGGAACACGGAAGGCGGCGCGGACGCCAACGTGGAGCGCAGCCCCGGCGGGATGCTCTACATCCGACAGTGGAACAACATGCAGTACGTGACCAGCGCCGCGTTCCTGCTCTCCGCCTACTCCGACTACCTGGCCGAGGCCGGCGCCCCGACCGTGTCGTGCGCGGGCGGCGAGACCGTGGCGGCCGAGGAGGTGTTCGCGCTCGCCAGGGCGCAGGTGGACTACGTGCTGGGCACCAACCCCAGGGGCGTCAGCTACCTCGTCGGCTACGGCTCCAAGTACCCCAACCGGGTGCACCACCGCGCCGCGTCCATCGTGCCGTACAAGCACAGCAAGGAGTTCATCGGCTGCACGCAGGGGTTTGACCACTGGTTCGGCCGGCGGAGCTCCAACCCAAACGTGCTCGTTGGCGCGATCGTCGGCGGGCCGGACCGGCGGGACAGGTTCAGGGACAACCGGGAGAACTACATGCAGACGGAGGCCTGCACGTACAACACGGCCCCGATGGTCGGCATGTTCGCCAAGCTGCACCGGATGGCGCGGCTGGAGCGGGAACAGGGGTCGACGACGCCGGTGCCCGTGACGTCCACGGCGGCTGATGTGTAAATAGATAGGATGTAGAGCGGGGGCTGTACAATTTTCCCCATTCTTTGGTTCATTTTTTTGGGCTTTGAATTTCATTTTACACAGATCGAGGTTATTGTACACAAGAAAGAAAAAGAAAAAGGGTGGAGGCATCGACATGTGCAAATGTAAATTCATTACCAGTACATATGAGGAAAAAAAATGACACTCTTAACTTATTGGTCATTCTTGTCTGTACCTTTCCGTCGGCGATTCTTCATTCGTGCAGTCCAGCTTAACAAAGAGCACGTTATTTTTGCTAACCTGGCGCTATCGAGATTTCCATGCCAATCTAGCACCATAAGGTTACTAGATCAGCTGCAGAACATGAAACAAAGGCACAAACACATGGTCAGACCTCAGAGGAATGGAAATAATGCTGCTTTCACATGATTGCTGTCCTTTTTTAGAGCAGCAATATAAAACAAACAAATATTGGCCCACCTTTGCCACAGCTTTCTTAATCATACAGTTTCTTTAGTCATAAACTAGGAAACAGTGAAGCGAGGTCACCTGCTCTTGCGTCCGAAGAATCGCAATCGATGCTACACAAAATATACCATGGAACAAATTATGCCACAGTTCACAGATGCTTCATTAATCATTACCCACAGAGCCCCCAATACGAACATGAGGGCCGTATCAACAAGCATGTGTGTATTCCAGCCCAAAAATGAATTGCACAGTATAATCATACAGCAGTATAACACCACATTTATGAGCAGTTTTACTTGTGTGCCATTATAAAAGTTTGTAATTACTCACAAGCCATTAAAAAGTTTGAGCAGTCCCAGATGCCACTGGTCGGAACTTCTTTGTCTCTCCACGCCATTCCGTCCAATTTTATCTCTAACGGTGTTAAACTGCGGTAAAAAAAGTCTAAAATGCCCTTAAGCCTGAACACCATGCAAAAGTTCATCATTCGCACACAGAAAAAAATATATAAAAGAAGAAAATTTCATATAGAGCAACACTGTATTTTTTTTTCTTACAAAAATATACTAGCAAGTGTTTTTCTTACAAAAACATAAAACAATTTAAATAGCAAGGAACCACTGATTTCGTGTTGTTAGCAGCAGGACATAAGATATAAATTCTTATAGCATCCTAACACGAGAACCATAAGAGAATTATTTATGGATAGTGAAGCAACTTATATTTGATTATTACTGTTTTTTTAGTGTTCACACATGATTTTTCAGAATAATTAACCTTGCCGAAGAAAGAAAAAGTGAAAAACTTCACCCATGAACACTTCACTTGGCCAAAACTCTGCCCCACTCTCATATTGCTGACTGTAGAGTTTACTAAAATAGTATAAATTCTCTCATTGACCATTTGAAAACCAATTTCGAACCCACAAGAAGAGAGCAACTCAGCTAAGCCACTGGATACGGGTAAGCATGTCCGACGAGGCGACGAGCCGTCAGTGGATCATCACTGTGGTCGTCGCAGTGCTCTGGCCATCCGCCCAAACACGCGTTCATCAGACACTCAGGCACGACATGCGCGGCGCCCATGCTCTGGCCATCTACCCGAACACGCGTTCATCAGGCTCAGGCACGACATGCGCGGCGGCCACCACCATGAGGGCATGCCGAGCATTGCAATGGCGGCTGAATGGATCGAGATTGGTAATGGTTACGTATATGTACCCCGTTGTAGAACTGGAAGTGCCTCCCGGACGCCTCAATGGCGGTGCTGACGGGCTGGTGCGCCCGGCCTTGAGCAGCGCCTGCTCGTCGTTGGCCGCCACGTCCTCGTACCCGGAGATGGTGACCACCTGCTCGCCGTCATAAGCCATGTCGTCGCAGCCCCCCTCCTCCATCAGGTACGGCCGTACGGGTAGGCCTTGCACGAGAAGGCATCGCGCTGCTGCCCACACTGCTGACCCCGGCGACATCGCGCCGCTGCCAACGCCGTTGCCGAAGCGCATGTTCACTGCTTCACGCTGCCTTGCACCGACGCGACCGCTGCCGAGCATCGCATCGTGCCCGACTATACTGCCGCCACCGGCCTGGATGGTCCTCCACAGGCGCAGTTGCCAGCTGTGCTCGAGGCGGCCGTCGTCTTGCCACCTCGGTAGAGCTCGCCGCAGTCGCCGTCTTGCGCGCCAGGTGGAGCTCGCCCGCGCTCCGCGGATGCCGCACCCCACGCCCCTCCTCCACTGCGGCGAACATGCCATCGACGATGAGACCCCACCAGTAGGGCGCGTAAGGCAGCACGAGCCCGGCCTTGGTGACATCCGCGAGACTGCGACGAGGTCCCGTAGCGTGACGCTGATTTCCACCGTCACATCCCCGGCCGCGGTGTCGACGGACATGATGCGGTCGAGCTACCTAGTGCTGATGATGAGGCCCTCGCCATCGCCGCTCCTGGACGCAGGGCGGCTGCAGGGCGGCTACGGCCCACACCAGCTCGTCCTCCGACGCTGGGTACGTCGCGAAGGACCGGTGGCGAGGGATTGAAAAAAACAGCCACCGAGGGCATTCTGGACATTTCAAGTCACCGGGCCCACATGTTAAGGCTAGCAAACGGTAAAAAACTAACAGAAGATGAACGAAATGGCATAAAGGGCAAAGAAGTTCCGACCAGGCACACTGTGACTGCTCAAACTTTTTAATGTCTTGTGAGTAATTACAGACTTTTACAATGACACACAGCTAAAACCCTCGTGAACATGTCGTTCAGTTTGAAAGAATGGAAAGAAAAATGGTACAAGAATGGGTGTAAAGAATACATTTGCCAGTTTGATGGGATTTCTTACAGCAGAATCGTACAAAACCAAAATCAACTGATCCGTGGCAACAAAATCCCACATACTCCAAAATGATCGGGAAATGACAATCATCATTGACCTATATATTTCTAATTCTCTATAAACAACTTTGGTTCTCTTGATACACACCGTCCATCCAGATCTTCCAGTAAGCTCTCTGTTCTTTGGTCCCAGATGTGTTCTTCCACCAATACCAGTGGCGAATGAGAGCCTGGCAAGAGCATATGATGCTGATTGGTCACAGGTAATGCTCAATCGACGTACTTAGTATCTCCCCCCACTTGGTGGTGCCGGTGGCAGCCGGTTAGGTGTGCGTCGGCTGCCAGAGTTGGCATCCCCATTTTCGTGGCGCCGGCCTCGACTGTCAGCACTTCTTGACCTTGTCTCATGCTGTGAACTGGACCGGTCAACAGAGCCATTTGCTGCTGAGTCAAAGGCAGACTTCCAGTCCTCACCAGAGTGGCCAGGGGACCGTGGGCTACTCTCTGCAAGTAAATTTATGTCCACTCAAGGTTAGGCTCCTTTTGCTACCCAAAAGCAAAAAAACTACAATAAATAGAAAGTACAACAAACTGGTCCACATATTTACACCAAGCAATATCGATCTAGGTATCTAACTTTTGAGGAATCGGTCTAGGTATCTAACTTATGAACTTATGAACTGGGCTTCTAGACAAAAGTAATAAAATTGCACATGAACTTATGAACTAAGCATCATACTAAATTGTTACTAGCTCATTATACATACATTTCTGGACTACAATGAAAAAAGGTTCTTGTTTGCTTTATTGCCTGTGCTGGATACCTACTAGAGTTGCAATGGTTTTCGAGAATTATGATCATAATGGGACACTCACGCGCATACTGTGGCAAGAATTGACAGCAAAATAGGCATTGTTTTTAATCCTAACCACCAGCTAACCAGGATATACCTGGAGGGCACCTGCCCAACCTAGTAAAAAATGGGATAAAAAATATGATTATGTATTTTCATATTTCTTGTCCATACAAATGTTCCAAATCCGGGAGTGGCCAGAAAGATAATTCAATAAAAATGTTAGATAACCAAAGTCATCATTCGATGGGCTTTAGATATGCCAAAAAAAAGGGAAGTAGATAGCCTTTCATGCAGCCAAACAATAATCCATCCTAGAGACTGTATAAAGATGGCAGTAGTAGATTTACCTCAGTTAGTTTTATTAAAGATATAGTCCATTAAAAATAAATGCTCAGTTATGCTTAAGAGGATAAACCAATGTCCAAAAAAGGCCCTAGTTATCACATTTGTGAGCATCATGCAGATATTTAAAGTATAGAACTTACCAGCTCCAGAACTATCGTTCGCATATGAAGCTGCTCTATTGTCATGGATACTGAGCTGGCGAGTGAGCTTTGACAAGAGGGATGATTGTTTTTGGTATTTTTCCCGCCTACGTTTAGCATTGTGGTCCTCTTGGAGTAGTTCTTCGATCTTTGCGTTGCTTTGTGCACTACAAGTGAGAAAATGTAACTGACTCAGCAATGAATTATTAAAAGAAAATGCAATGACAGTGGAACAAAACATTTTCTTCTAAGTACTTTAAAATACTAGTTAACACCTTTCAACAGTCACCATACAAGAGCACGAAGTGCGACAAAAAGAGAAGGTGAAGTGCATAAGTAAAAGAAGACTGCAATTTTAATAGACTTCTGCCAGAACAAAGTTTGCAAATATTCAAAAGAGTGAATACCCCATCTACAATCAGATCCAGAGGGATTAGGGGTTTATGGAACAAGATTGACGTTGAACTTAGCAGATGTGGTTCAAGATATGCAGTTAAGCAGTTAAAAGTTGAATTTCAATTTGCATAACCACAAGTCTTAAGCAAACAAGGGCACATTTGTGAGTAAAAAGAAGTGGTAAACAAATGATAAAGCAAGATGAGAAATACTAGTAATATACTATGCCTGCACCTGAGTGGTGCCAACAAGTGCAAGAATACCACATAAGTGTGAGAAGCAATTAAGCACATACTCCCTCTGTTCCAAATTATGTCACTTTGACTTTTTTGGTACATAGAATTTGCTATGTATCTAGACATATATTATATCTAGATGCATAGCAAAATCGATGTACCAAAAAAGTCAAAGCGACTTATAATTTGGAACGGAGGGAGTATCAGTTTGCAGAACTCAAGCATGGACAAAGGCACTAATTCTATCAGTTTCCCTATTTCTTATAGAATGGAATGTGCAAAGCACCTAACTAAAAGGATAATAAGTAGACCTTCACATAGCCAGGAAGCACAAAAAAATATTTAGTTTGTTGCAGTTCCATCTAGATGGTATCTCCTTTTCTTTTTATATGGCATATAGTTTTGTAAAAAAAAAAAACTCTGAAAATATAAGGCATTCATGTAAATGTATTGATGTTTTTCAGGTTTTGCCCTCTTATAGTATATTCCCTCACCTGCATTCATGGTTAATACCTCGTTTGTTGTGGGTTGATTTTTCCTAAGTTTTTGTTGGTGCTCTTTGTCGCTTTGCCTGTACTAGACTAGTTTCTTTGGCCTTGTGTCTCATAGTCACAGGTCATGTTGTTTGTGGAAGGCTAATTGCTCTGGTCTAGTGCTCCCTTGGGGAGGGGGATTCTTCTCCCTCCTTTGTACTATTCTTTTTTTTCCTCTCTTAACGAAATGATGTGCAACTCTCTCACGTGTTCAAGGGGAAAAAATGGTTAATACCTCACTAACTGTTCACTCATGTTTCTAAGCTAAATAGGGGTGGCGTGGTCATCATCTCTTTTCTTTCTCTTGGTTCCAAGGCCTTATTAATCTTTGTGCCCATCCCAAATGTGCCTCATACTTTGAACGTAGCATATTACAATTTTCAGTGAACCGAAGGGAAAAGGAGTGGGAGCTCATTCAAGAAGGATAACTATCCCTAATTTATTTTTGAAGAATAACAACCAACCTTACTGAGCTGTACAGTTGGTTTAGCATATCTTCTTTTGATTTCTCCACTTGGCAAAGTACAATAGCCTGGTCATGCAAAAATCAATGAACATTATTCCATGAATCACAAGGTTCGGAGAATCGACTGAAGCTATGAGTATAAACCTTTGGAACATTTGCGGCCAAACTGTTCAAAACAGCTTCAACATAACCACGAACTTCTTGAGACATCCATCGAAGTTCTTCTTCAGGATCAGCAGGCCTCCGGGCCATTGTATCCTTAAACAGAAAAGAGTCGTAGAACGAGCAGTAAAATAAGTGATCTTGTGTTGGATACATTTAAATGACAAACATAATGAGGCTATAATTTTAGCCTTTAGGTAAGGTAGAAAAAATAGATATCCTTTAGCAGATAGAAAGAAATGAGAATTGTCCAGTTGGTAGGTGCCTTGCAAAATGGCGTAGACTCCCTTGGCCACACCTTCCCTTTGTGCTTGTGTCCACATAATTTTTTTTAGCCAACCAACTTTAGTCAGTCCAACTTGGCATGTTTGCTGTGGAAGTCATAAGCTGGCAGGTTCAACTGCACTCGCAACGTTCCACACAGGCTAGATGAAAGGAACGACCTTTGCATTGGCCAAGGTGACGATTCTGCTAAGGCTAAAAGGTTCGCGTGGGAGGGAGGGAGGGAGGGAGTACAGAGACACAAGATGGCCAGAGCTTACAAGGGATCCATCTGAACGGCTTTGTCTCATAGAACCATCCTCAGTTGGACCCCTAACAGAGCCCCCTCTGCTTTGAATAACACCTTTTATCTTCTTGATCCATTCAATCTTGTCAGCCATACTCTCAGCCTTCAATATAACGGCACTTTGAGCTGCAAACATGAATTAAGCATTTATAGACCAAAAAAAAATTTTGAAACCACTGCCCCCACCCCCCAAAAACATGTATACAGGAACAAACCTTTTAAGACACTTTTGTAGGCAACCCTGTTAGTAATCTTAAAAACAAGACTTGGCCCTTTCTCTTGTCCATTTGCCTTCTTTGAATCCTTAGAATTCTTAGAGACCTCTTCCTCCTCTATCTCTTCCAGGTTACATTCCTAAATAACACAGCAGATAATTCTATTAAAACAGATTATCATGTTTCACATAGCCATGTACATGTTGTCACTCAGTTCAGATATGAATTCCAACTTTCCACAATGGGAAGACACTGTTTAATATGTGGCTGCAAGTACTACCTCCTTTCAAAGTTATATGTAACTGCAATAAACATTTAGCTTCTGCTGATAATAATATAATATACACAGAATATTAAGACTGGTTGTAGAAACTATTTTCCTCTGTCATGAAACTATTTCAGAAAATATATTTGGTACAAAATGGTGGTGAAAGGTTTAAATTAGGAAAAATGTTAATGTCCAGAGGGGCATCTATCAAACAGTGATTGTATTATTCAGAAAATAAGTAAGATTGACATCTAAGCACACCTCCAGGACAATGACGCCTCGAAAATGTCTCTCCTCTTGCTTCTTAGTGTATCCAAGCTGGACAAGGGAAAGGATTATAGTAAATCATGTAAGCCATCTCAAATAAAAAGATAATAAAGATCAGCCAAAAAAATATCATGAAAAAATATCAAATGTTAGCATTAAGAATAATCATGGTTGCAGGAAATCAAAAAGGAGATTTATTAACCTTCCCACTCTTCTCGTTTAGAACAAACCACCTTTTGCTCCATTCATTATTTTTTGCACTTTTCTTCAAAAGGTAACCTGGTGAAAAAAGAAAAAATATGTAATTAATTGAAGTATGACACTGGCTCCACACATGCATTGTGTACAAGTAGTAAAATACATAAGAGTTCTGAATAAGTAAACAATTAACCAAATATGCTAAATTCCGGTTCATTCATTCTAATAAACCCAAATGGGCATGGCAACAAAATTTTAGAAAACCTGAAGTGTTCTGGTACAGTTACATAGAAAAAATGCACTGCCAAATTGCTATGCACCCTATGGCACATTATCATACCTGCAGTTATTTCGCCGCCAGGCCCAGCAACCTGCAAATTTGGTCCCTCTTTTGTATCCTTTTCTTGCTGATTGGATTTATCCTTCATTGATTTCAGGTTACCACCAGCTTCATCCGAACCAGTTTGAGGGCTTGAAGCCTAATGAGTGAAAAAGAATGTTAATAGCCACAAAAAAAAAAACTAATACTGAGTCTAGCGGTCACTTATTTAGTACAGCTCTTAAGTACACAGATTTGTGCATCCTGAGAAAACAGGCAGAAGTCAAACCCGGTTCATTTTGGATTGTTCTGCATCATGTCCTTTCTTAGATGATCTGTTATTTCTCAACTCATCCTCACGACGCTGTCTTTCCATTCTGCAAAACCATACCAAGACAGATGTATACTGAATGATGCATTCACGTGATCATATAAATTATGTAAAGGCCCCAGTTAGAAAATCATTTATCCATTTGAACTAAGTGAGCAGACATTAATTAAATGAGAAAAACAGACATGGAACCTCACTTATACAATTTACTAGCGCATCATTTCATGGGGGGAAAGTGAAATACTCAAGCCTTTTGGCTATTAAAATTTAGGCTGATAGTGCTATTTAGGGGTTGGTGAGATTTTTATGACAAAATAAATCAAGAATAGGAAAGAGAAAGATTGTTCTATGAAGTTTATACAATACATAATGACATAAATCAGGTAGAGCAGTATATTTGCTTAAACTTGCACTACAGCATATTTAACAAAATAGCCAAGATATTTGTTCAAAGAGTATTGACCTTCTCTGTACTAATCGGATGAAGTGTTGTGGAGGAACAAAAGCTCGCTCCATATCAACAAGTGCAACCACCATCTTTTTTGCATCACTTTTGAAAGCATCTAATGCATTAGATGCAATTGCAATGACCTTAACAAAGGAATGTAATGTTCAGAAATTAGGCTTAACATGAATCATAAACACAACTAGAAAAAAGGAGGGAAAGCTGGTTACAGCAAAAGAGTAAAGTCATACCTCCCGCTTGAATGGAGGGTATCTTCCTAATCCTGGTGTAGCATTTGCAGCAGCGTTTACTATGTCTAACAAAACTCGGTGTACCTAGTGTGTTGATAGACACAATAATTAGTTAGCATATCAGAAGCTACAAAATCAGTTAAGTATTGGCTGAAGCGCAATAGTTTAAAAATACAAAATATATCATAACCGTCTTAAGTTTATCTTCACCCAAATACAGAGAAAAATCAGATCTAGACAAGCAGGTAGCTTTAACTGTATGTATGAATTCTATCAATTAAAACATACCTCTTCAACACAGAGTCGCGATGGCTCCTTGGCCATTTCCAGAACTCCTTTTATTAAGGACTGTAAACCCTTCTCTGGAGATATCAAATAAGGTTGATAGCCATCCGCTTCCAACACAATCTAGAATAAGAAGAGAATTCCATTCACCATAAGCCAAAATAATTGCACAATCTATAATTAAATATAGAACAGCTTTTGATTTTACCCTCTTCACGTTGTTCAAATCAAAATGCCTGTCCAATGGAAGTTGTTTGATCCTATCTGGAAACTTGCCCTCAAAACTTGCAACTATTTTCCAACCAGAACCCTTTGAGTGGAAACAATGCAACAATCTAGTAATCAGTTATTTCATTTGGCAACATCTTAGATATAACAAGAAAGCCACTAACAGGGCTCATCACTAACCTCACCAGAAGTAATATGAGCAAGAAATTTATCTTCGAATTCTCGACATAGCTCCAGAGCAACTGCTTTGGTTCCTTCAGTGCTTTGTACCATCTGTTCTCCTAGCCTTGCAAGTTCATCCTGCACTATCTGGGATTTACCCTGAAGTCTGAAATGGATGTATGCAATTTAAGCATTATGAGCTAAATTCAACTGGTAGATATAATAGGTGATTCGTAAAAGTTGCACAGTTCATTGGCTCAGTGACTAATAGAAATTGAAAGGTGCTTTCAGGGGCAATCATCAAATTGACATTTTAGTAGTCAAGTAGAAGCTGTCGATGTATCACTTTTTCACATGGCGTTACTCTTAGCATTTGAATGATGATACCATAATTACAGATGCAAAAGTAGTGGCAGCATCACTGAGGTGATGCATGTAGATTTTATTTGGATTTAACCAGAAGGCCAGTACAGAGAAGAACATTTGCAATCATACAATTGTAAGATGTTCCGTCAGATGAGAATTAACTCAACCCTCAAAAGCTTTTTGTTGACTGATAGAAGAAAAAGCCTAGAGAATCTAACCTAAATGCAGTTAGATATTCATCTAAAACTAGCGAAAGTGCCAACGCCATTGCACAAATATAAACCACACATGTTTAATCTACATCAACATAATCTAGTGCCAATAAACTAAGTGGTGTAGATCATTCTCCTTTCTATAAACAAATAAAGGATATCTGGAATTCTTTATATTTCAGAGACCATCATGGGGATTTGTAGTTGGTAGACATCATAGAAGAGGACGTGCTTTCAGTTTCACATTTGTTTACATGATCACATCTATATATCAATGGTTTGACAATCATGGTCAGTAATTGACTTGAATGTCCTGAACCAATTAACTTTTTTCTTTACTTCCTTTTGGTTGTTCTTGGACCGCACAGAGTTATGATGCCTTTAAAAGTAAAGCACAGGATGATCAGTATAGCATGCATACCCGGTCAACAAGTTTGGCAGACGAACTTTCATCCGTTTACGTATCTGCTTAGCAATGGTATCCACGAGAGCAATTCTTCCCAGCTTACTCTGAGGTGCACCAGTTAGGATGGATTTAAGGGTCTCAGCCTCAGCTCGCCAAGCTGTTTCCAGTGAATTATCAGACCCGACTGATCCTGATTGAGCAGATGCAATTGAGACAGACTGCCCGATTAGAGCAACCCACTCAATATCAGCTGCTGCTCGTGGGGCACCCTTGTTGGACAAAATGGCCTGAACACAAGAAACGGTTTTTGCATCTGCAGCTGCTTGATCGATTTTGCTTAAGACACCTATTGTTCTAGTTCCTGCAACAGTTAAACAAGAGGAAATATCAATTGGTATTTTTTTGAAGGCAGAGTGTGGCTATGCTATTGTGGAGGACATGACCAAATTAGAGTGACAGACCATCTGGATCAATGTCCTTTGCTAGCCTAAGAGCTCGAGAAGATGCAACATCAGCTGCTTGCATTGCTGGTATCACAACAATCAATATTGCATCATTGTGCCCAGCATATTCACTGATCTGAAATGAGAAAAGTATTAACCATTATAAAACGTAACTGAGAAGACGCAACAAATGTAAGTCTTGTTGAGTGTAGTGGGCGCGAGAGCGAGCATGTGTTTCCTTGAAGGCCAAACAACAAAAGACTCATAAGTGGAAAAACAAATATTACTGCTTTTGTGGACACTCAATCAACTGACTATGAGTTGCGCAGGGGCCAGCACTAAAAAATTGTATGAATTACATAAATGGGAGGTGGCCATTTTGATGCATACGCTGGGTTTTAACCTACTGGTCAACACTCTCCCAGCGGTTAAATACATGGGTTAAAGCAAGACCAAGGTTTCTTGGGAAAAAGCCATTGGTTTTGCTATGCTTACGTAATAGTCTCTATAATTTCAAAGGATGCCCCCCAAGTTATTATTTATTACTTCCTCTATTCCATTCAATAATATTCCAGTTATAATAGAGAATAATTATACCATCAGTTATTCTAGCAAGTCCCAAACCTTCCTGAGTACTCCCTCCATCCCAGAAATAAATTCGTTTTGGACATGATTTAGGATACCAAGGAGTGATTAATTGGAGCCTATTTTTCCCCTGTTTGCCCTTATTAAATAGCCCCTTGGGCATCTAATAAACAAACATCCCTCACCGGCCTAGTTGGTTACTGAAGCGCGTTCTTAGGCGTGTGCGCGCGGGTTCGACCCCTCGCCTCCCCTATTTTTGCATGGCCACTCCTGAAGCGTTTGTTTGGTCGCTCGCTAATTGGCTCCTGGAGCCTCGTTAATTTATTCCCTGGAAACGAAGAGGCATGCAGCAGCGTCACTAGCTTTTCACCAGTACACGAAGAGGCCGCTGGCCGCATTAATTAATTCCCTGGAAACGCAGCCGCGGGGGCAAACTCGTCCCACGCCCTGGAAACGAACTCCTTTGCCAAAGATCTAAGAAGCTCCAGAACGAACTGTTTTAAGGGATGGAGGGAGTAGTTGATGACTAATGACAAAAGCATTGCAAAAAGTACTCACCGTTGAATCATCCATAACCCGTTGGTCTATGCCAGGTAAATCAATCAATTTCAGCGGAGGAGCTGGACAAGCAGACAACAAAGATAACACAATGTGAAATTATTTGCAAGAGCCCAGAAAAAACAGAACAAAGTACACAGAAGCATCTATCGCACACCATGTATTGTAATTATCAGATATTGAGCTGAGCTCATTCAGTGTAGGGTTATTACATTTCAGTAGACCACAAAAGACTCATTGATAGCATCCCTCCTTCAAAACCATATCATCATATCATTTCAGCATTAAATGGAACATAGAAGGTAGAAGACGTTAATGTTCTACAACTAGAAGAAAAGTATGAAAACGTTCGGGGTCCTTAGCAGCATTGCCCCTAAAGCATGCCCAATTATCCAGCTTGTTACCGAATTAGCAGCATTGCCCAATTACAAGAGAAAAGTACAATCCAACAACAAACCTGTACTTGTCCGCAACTTAAGGTAAATCTCATCGCTTCGGCTTCTCCCAGATCCACTGGATGCCCCTTTGCTAAGCCTATCCTGCAGTGAATGACGGAGTGCACCTGCAGGCCACACCACAAACCAAAAAAAGGCCACCAAACTCAGTAAAACGACCAACCGCGCCCATTGCCAGATCTAACTACGCGAGGTGAGATCTCACTCACTTGCCGACACCTGCTGCGACTTGCTGTCGATCTGTAGGACGATGGACTTGCTGCTGAGCCCCGGATCCCTCGCCAGGTCGACCACTATCGGCGCCCGCGTCGCGCCGTTCTCCCCCGTGGGCTGAAACACCACGGCAACCACCGCCGAAGTATCACGTAAGCGAATGCGCACAGCAGAAGAGAACGAGTTAAGCGTGACGCACTCACCAGCACAGGGTGGCCAATGAGGCTGTTCAGCACAGCCGACTTGCCAGCTCCCTGCACGGAAAGGGAGCAGAACAGATTGAGTCAGATCGGAAGGCGGGGGCGGCGAGTGGGTTCGAGCTCGCGCGGGGGGCGGTGGGCACTTACGACGTTGCCGAGCACGACGGCGTTGAGAAAGGTGGAGGGGCGGCGCGAGGCGGTCTCGTCAGAGGGGTCATCGTCCGCAAGGAGCGAGGCGGCCTGCCGCATGGACTCGGAGAGCTGGACGAGCTCGTCGATTGCCTCCATGGCTGCCGCCGACGACATGGCGGCAGGGATCTAGAGGACGGTCGGGGAGATCTCGGGTGGTGAGCTGGGAATTGGGGAGTTGCGGGACGGGGTGTTTTGAGAGCCGAGACGGGCAGTCGGGCACAAGGGTAGTCGTTGCCTGACTGCTGTTCAAGTGATGGGACCAGCGACGCACCGGTGAGGTGCCGGTGTGGGGCGTTTCGTTTGTTCGGGCACGTCGGCCGTCGCCCGTCGGGTGCTGGAGCCGTGGGGATTTTAGATCTGGCTCCCCAGCCGATGAGTTTGTAAACGAAGTGAGCTCCAAGAGGCGGATGGTAGTACGCGGTGCGATAGCCCGGAGCCCGTGTGTTCTGGGATTTGGCTACAAATTGGAAATGGGATACTTTGCTCTTGCGGACGTCCATCGACCATCCTTCAAAATGGTTTGAAATCCTCTGCAGAAAAGGGTGATTTTTTTGAAATTATATTATTTAAAAGAAAAATTGGTAAACTAGCTGTCGATTTTAAAAAATTACAGGCCTAGGTGCCTATCGGTATCTTGGAAGCCGACATGACCGTCCATGCCGGAGTGTTCGTGGTGGATGAAAGAGGTAGTCGGGTTCCCACAGATCGATTAGGCCCAGCACAGCCAATTTTAGAATCCGACGTCTCTGTCGGCATTGAAGAGCCGATAGGCTGAACACTTACGTATCTTTCCTTGTATGTAATCCAAAAACGAATGATCTAGCTTCAAGATCTCTAAAAATCATATAATTTCTTAATAGATGCTAGAAATCAAGCACAATCTATTTTTCTTTTTTTAAAACAACAATCTATTTTTCTTATATCTGACATAATAGCTTTTGTAGTTTTGAAATTAAAATCATTCTCAAAATTAGATATTTGAGTTTTTAAATTAAAATTGTTTGGCCCTAAAATAAATTGCACGCATTTTTTTTCCCTTTCCTAAGACAATAGACATATGGGCATGTTTGATGGAGCTCTGGACTAAAATGCCTGGACTGGACACCTGCCTGCATTTTTCGTGGGGTTCGTTTGGTTGGGACCCTGAATAATTTGCCTATTGTGAGCTGCCTGTGACACACCTGCCTGGCTGGGAGCCAGGCGTAGGAATTCGATCGTCTGGGCCCTGTCCGACTTGCCTGGGCCTTAATGACTCCACCTAAGCCACTTCCCCTTTTCCCCGGAACTCTCTCCCATTTCCCCTCAAGCTCTCTCTCTCTCTCTATCGTTTGCGCTCATCCATGGAGAAAGGTAAAAAATCATGGCTAGATTGACGAGGGCGCATAATGATGGCGCCTTTTTTTTTTGCATCTGATGGTCGGCTGGCTCCTCTTAGCTGAAAGTTACGAGCAATAATTGCTTCTTTTCCTTTTCAATTGGATTTTTTCGGAAGTTTTTTTCTACTGATTCTACCCATGATTTATCTTCTTTGTTTGCACGATTTGAGGTCCTGGCCTTTGGATTTCATTTTCTTCTGTATATGGATCACCATTCTGGTGGCCGCACCTTCAGATTTTTGGATCGAGGTTTCTGTTTTCCTTTTTCTCTGTAACTTGCCTTCTTCAGACTGCGTACAATTTCTTTCTTTTTTCTATTAATTACAACAACCGCTAGTATTATTGGCTTGTCTCCATGTTTAATGAATGAAGATGGTATGCTTCGTTTTGCATCTCATACTTATTGGAATTATAAAATATTTGCAATATTTCGCTGCTACTATAATTTTTTCTGGAAATGTTTTTACACCACACCTTCAAATCAAAATGTATAAACACAGGCAGCCCGTCAACCAAACGCTGCCCCGTCCCTTTCATCCACTCAGGCATCGCTCCAGGACTGCAACCAAACGAGGACATGAAAAACACACTTGCCTGGTCAGGCAATCTTGTATCGGTTACAGGCAAGTCACAGGCGGCTGAAATGCCCAGGCAACTTATCCAGGGTTGCATCCAAACATGTCCATAGTCTATATCCAGTCATAGTAAAGTTATAAATAACTTATATATTGTTTACCCCAAATTTTAGAAGAAGAGTCATAGGACTCGAAAGCTCTCAAGATCATATCATCAAGGAGTCAATTGCGTGATCGAAACCAGCTGATTCGAATGAAACACTGGATTCGGCTTTCTTGAGTAGCGCCAGCAGATAACGACAAATGCTACGATCGTGCCGGGACAAAACATGTTGGACTCTAAAAAGGAAAAAGATTAGAGTCCAAATTATCTTAAATTAGGAATGTTTTCTCTAGGACCAAAGATTGTACCAAGTCGTACTTGAGTATGATTCGTGCTTATGCTCCGGGTATAAATAGTAGACTCGGCTATTGTAAATGACAACAATCAATCCAATACAAGTTACTTACTTTTTTCGGCTCCGCCACCCCCTTAGGAGTAGGAGTAGAGTAGATTTCAGCGAGTTCTTCAGCAAGTACGGCTGCATCGATCCGATTGACCTCCACTGCTTGTCTGTAAGTATCGTCATGGCTTATACCTCTGTTCATACGGCTGCATCGATCCGGTCGACATCCACTGCGACTCTAGTATAAGTTAGTTATCGACTCTTATTTAGTTCAAGTATGACTGTATCGATCCGGTCGACCTCCACTGCTCGAACTAGATTAAGGTCAAGTTATCGGCTCTATCTAAGGGTGGCGTTCCTTCGGATAAATTCATTAAGTTACCGATATTGCTTATTACTTTCATTATTTATTTAATTGCAGCAATATCACTTCGTCCGATTGAGATTGATCTAGATCAGCATCTTTTTAACTCATCGTTTGTTAATCTAAATTTGATCTAATCTGCACTTTAAACTATGAGTTATGTTTTATCGATTATTCTATGTCAATCTTAATCGTGCATAGCGTGCGGTTAAGGCATGTCTGATCTTGAGTAGATCTATTGGTTAGTGAAAACCATTTCATGGCTCGTTATCACGATCTGTGTGATTCTGCCTCACTCCCCACTGTTAGCACCATGGAGTGGGGATCGTTATTTGGTAGATTTGTTCCTAAGAGGGCATGACTTTAACCGTGCGCTATGCTTGAATCGGCTGTTTTAGCCGATATCGAGTGCTTTCACGAACAGTTCACGTCACGAGACCGTTGAAGTAGAGATAGGTTGAAAGATGTGTTAGCCCCATAATCTTATTATTATATTACGCCCTGCATGATTCTGCCTCATGCCCTACTGATATTAGTAATAAGTTAGGGTCGTCGAGTCTATTGTTGTTTCTATGGCCTGCATGATTCTAGCTCATGCCCCACTGGTCATAGCGATAGATGAGATCTAATATGTTCATTAGATTTATCTTTATTAAATGGTTAAATGATGATGAGCTGTTTCTTTTATATAAAAAGGGGTTCGGTTATTTGCAGTCATTGGCTTAGCGTAAACTAATTATTATTGACATCTTATTGCCATTGACCAATATTTGTCTAGATAATGATATTAATCCTAAACGATAACTTATTCTTCTTACACAACACCATGAGCTTTAACTGATTTATTCTTATGAATATGCTGGAATCAACTATTTAGTCGATTTCTTTCATATCGGCTCTCAGAGCCGCACATTCGGGACTGTCTAGCGACACCGGCATGTTTTGCCATAAATTACTGATAAACTTTCTCTCCTTATCAATTGCAGGGTCAAATTAACTAGCATGTCTCGGGAGGAGTGCAGGATCGACCACCCCTACACTGAAGCTAAGCAGATCTCCAGCTCCATTGAGCGGACCCTTCCGGCTTGCTCGTGTGCCCTCGGCACGGGACAAAATTTCTATGTCGACACACGTTGTTGGCACGCCCGGTGGGATCCCACAATCGTCATGGCGGTTCACAACAACAACGATATCCTTATGTTATATTATGAAGATCTACCTGATAGAGATAAAAATGTCATCGGCAAAGCTACAGAAGAATTTCAGAGCAAATATTTGTTGTCCTACACCAAAACACGTGACAACACAATTATTCAGAAATTTCTACTACCAAGAGTTCTATTACATGGACAGACAGATACAGCTAAAGCTGAAGACAAACGTTTCTTTACGAAAGTTATAGACAAATCTGTTCATGATGACATATCAAGCCATAATGAAGTTTTCTTGGACACATTTTACAATGCCATGAAAGAAGTGATTCATGAGTTTCTAGTTGGTCAAGTTGGGCCGACTTATTACAACATTCCAGATTCGTCGACCTAAGGGACTAATCAAGTTGGTACCGGCCATCAAGAAGCAGCACCAGCTGGTAATATGGTGATGTCTAGGCAGTTCAGGGTTTATCTGAACAAGCTCAAGGTACTACTACGAATCGATCTGAAGATAATCCTCGGACCATCAAGACAAAGATGTCCAATATTTGGTGGGGCAAGGTCAGAACCAGGTGATCAATTTTGGCACATCAGGCCACATACCGTCGTTCGGCTCAAAAAATAGCACCATCAATTCAAATGATCCGTAGAGATATAGAATCATCATGTCTATAACAAGAGACTTCAAGCAGCGAACCAGCAAAGGACCCAGCAGATAGAGACTCCACAAGGGTATCATTATGGCATAGATTATAATATCCTTCACATGATTCCGAATCTAGGGTATCAAGGCACATGGGATTTCAATCCACAGATGGGTCAGTAGGTGTAGAGAAATCCAAATCCGTAAGCTAACGAGTTGTTGCTAAAGGTGTAGAGAAAAAAGATTACCGATCTGACAACTATAAGGCATAAGACTAATGAATCGGGCACTGAGTTTCTTCAGAGGTTCCAAGAAACTAGGAATTTATGCTTCTCTTTAAACTTGGCTGATGATCAACTAGCTACTTGAGCCGTTCAAGGAATGCTGTCAATGTGGAAAAGAAAAGCTGCTGGGACAAAAATTTGACAACTTTGGTCAATTGGCTCAACGAGTGGAAGCACTTAATAGCCAATTCCAGAGTATGCGCAGAGATACCTGATTTTAGAAGAGTACCATAGTGGCCAAAGCTTACAATCCATACTCAGTCGATGACGGC